TAGTTTGAAGTATTCACTAAAAGACCCTATTTTTTCAACAGAAAAACCCTCACCGTTTATAAGTTCTGCTGTCAACGCGAAAACCCTTTTTTTCGGTAGGGTTACCGGAAATGACGTCGCAATGGCTGAGTTTAAAATATTTTTCAACCAAAAATTCAGAAAATCTTCTTTAAATATGTATCTTAAATGCTATAAAAAGTTTGAATAAGAATTCCATTTTTTATATAGAAAAATAAATTGTTGAAAATATGCTAAACTCATGTAACCCCTTAACGAAGTGTAGATGTTTTGTGTTTCGAATAATTAAAAATAAAAATAAAAATGTATGTCTACTTAAAGAAAAAAAAGACACTGAACTTTAAAGATTAAGTTGCTAAAGAAATCCCAATAGAACGTCCAACTTATCAAAATTAAGTTCTACTTCTTTTTTTTGATATCCAAATTCCCTATGATAACTTCTTATTAAGAATTTTATTTTTGCACTAGAGAAACACAACTGATTATATTATATAATAAATTTTGTATTTTTTTTTTTTCTTATGTATATATATATAGTTAGAAAAATCTACACGTCTCGTACAATTGATTGATATCTTATGCATAGGTGTACATTGCAACATAATCGATGACGAATAATCGATTCACGATTTGCGTAGGTGACAACTTACTCGTCACAATTTCAAATTAAGAATACATTATCCCATTTACGGTTAGATTATCTCCTACTACCATCCGGTGAGAATTTTTTTCTTGTTTTTTTCTTTTTTTTTTTAACATGATTACCTACATTATTATTGGCACGCGAAGTCAAGGATGAATTTTAATATTATTTATTATTCAAATAATTGATAAATTGTATCATACGTGTAAAATTTATTTATATTAAACATTAATTTATTCAATTTATTAATACGTGAATTTATATATTTCATAGAAACAATTAGATAAACAAGTTTATAATAAAGTTAACTTTCTTTAAAAAATATCTAGTTATTTTATGAAATATAATTGAATTATTAAATACATACTTCAATGATAACATTTATATACGAGAACAAATTTTCATATCAAATTTACTTACCACCCTGAGTAATCCCATTCAAGTTAGACTCCGTTTTAGCATGATGGGGTCCCGTGAACGAATATCGATAAGATCCTGATCCATCTTGAACGTGATATTGTCGTAAAGGTGAATAACTTCCTATGGGATTGATCCAAACGTTTGCTATCGGATTGCATAATGAAGATCCTAGTAATATACTGAAGAAAATAATCTGAAAAAAAAAAAAACAAATACAAACCATAAGAGTATATATCAAATTAATTAAATCGTTGTATAAATTTAATAATTAATTAATTAATTAGTCTAGTAAATTATAGATAATCTATTCTTTATTTTATTAACCAGTTGTAATTTACAAAATGAAACAAAGGGAAAGAGGGATGAAAATAACTAACGAGGTAATTGGAACACGTGTTGCATTAAAAACTAACGAGAAATTACTCTTAAATGAGTAAAGAAACTTGAGATTCGATCGATCAAAGGTACAGGTAAGCAACCATAGTTCTCTCGTAACGATCAGTGAAAAAGAAAAACGATAGATAAAGATAGAGAAAAGGATGGGGGAAAACCTTTTAGAAAAAGGGCACGTAGGAAAATCACAAAAGGAAAATCGTAGGTAGATCAAAGTAAGAACAAGTTCCTTCGAGTTGGTAAGAAACTTAATCGAATTGATGATTTTCATGGAACAATTAAGACAGCTTCTTCTTCTTCTTCTATTTTAAACGTGTTGCAAACAACTTTTATACGAAAGTTAGTTAAACTCAATTCCGAAATAAACCGAGGATTCGCCCTTTTCCTTGGATTTTAATTTAATCGATTGATCTGATCGATACGTTAAAAAGATTATTATTTCATTTGACTTTTTGTGCAGATAGAAAAAATAATATTTTCGCGAATTAAATCTAGTAAAATAATAATATAT